ATGAAAGGTTAGAGAATACTACTCTCTAGCTCTTTGCTCCTCATCAACTGCAACAAGTTTAGAATTTATTTGGGTCACTTGACAACCAGCAAGCTCCTGAGCTAAAATAACTTCATTTATGAGTCCCTACAACCCTGATACAACCAATCTCTTCCACCAGTGTCTTCTGTATCTGTCTGACCCCAAGAAAGGGATGCTGTGGATGAACAGCAGCAGGACAAGGACAAGGGTGTCATTAACCACCTGAGATCTCACCCACCTACAGTTCACCATGGATTTCCCACCTTCAAACTCGGAATTCTTCCCCCAGCGCTTGGGCAGCTCCAGCACCATGAGCCCCTTGGTGCCGATGAGCGCCACATGGTGCTGGGCCGGGCTCAGCAGCACCTGGTGCACCTCAAAGAGGGGCGGGTTGATGCACAGGAGGGTCTGAAAGCATCAGCGTCACAGTTAACACCGAGCCACCCGAAGCGCCTGCAGAAGCAGGGCACATCTGTATTTCGGGTGGTGAGCTCCACGGCACGGAACGAGGCACAACCCGGCTCCACGGCCACGGGGTCGCTGAGGGCAGACCCACCGAGGGTGGGCTGGGGGGTGATGAACCGGCCAGGGGCCGGTCCCCCTCAGCCCTGCAATGGACACGGATCCCCATCCCCTCACACCCCACACACCCCCTCACCCTCGCTTCCCTCCCCATATCCCCCCGTTCCCTCCCAATCCCCTCATCCCCACTCCACAGCCTTTACACCCCCCCTTTCCCCTCACAGACCCCCCCTCCACACAGACCACCGCCCACAGCCCCCGCTCCCCTCACAACCCCCCACACTCTATCCTCTCACACCGGCCCTTCCCCTCACAACTCGCCCTCCCCACACAGCTCCACACGCATAGAGCCACCCCTTCCCTCACAACGCCCCCCCACACCCTCCTATCCCCTCACACGACCCCCCTCCCCTTCTCTCCTCATGCCCTCCCACCCCCCTCTCCCTTCACACGCGCCCCTCCCCACCCCCCCAGCGCCGTTCCGCACCTGGTACCGGCCGAGCGCGGCAGGGTCGGGCCCGCCGAGGTGGCGCAGGCCGATGGCGTGCAGGGCGGCGGCGGGTCCATCCCAGAGCAGCAGGTCCCCGCCGAGCCCGCACAGGAGGTCGCGGGGCCGCGGCGGGCGGGGGGCACCGGCGGGCGCGCGCTCGCGGAGGCGGCCGAACACCGCGTGCTGCGGGAGCGCCGCGCGCCACTGCTCGGCCGAACCGCACTCCGCCGCCATCGCCCCCGCCGCGCCGTGACGTCACCGCCCCGCGCGGCCAATCGCCTCGCCGGCCGCTGTCGCCCCCCGCGACGTCACCTCCCTGCGCGGCCAATCGGCGCGGCGGCCGCCTCGCCCCTTGCGGACTACATTTCCCGGCACGCCCCGCGCGCGGAGGGCTCGGCGCGATGGAGGCGCCGCTGCAGCGGCACCGAGCGCGGTACAAGAGCCCCGGCGGGCCGCCCTGGAGGGAGACCTACCGCACGGTGAGGGGAGCGGGAACGGGAACGGGAACTACCGCGGGGTGAGGGGATCGGGGGTAGTTACCGCAGGGTGAGGGGATCAGGGGTAGTTACCGCAGGGTGAGGGGATCGGGGAGCTACCGCTGGGAATGGGACTGAGGACCTACCGACGGGTGAAGGGAGGGAATGGGGGGGATCTACCACTGGGTGAGGGGCGGGGTTTGGGGACCTATCGCCGGGTAGGGGACTGGGGACGGGGGGCGAAATACTGCTGGGTGAGGGGGGATAGGACGGGACGGGATCGGGTTTGAGGGGTGCATGGTCTGCCCGTTCCTTTGGCCCCGGTTCGGCCCCCCCCCCCGGGGCCTGCCGGGCCGGGTGAGCCGGACCCCATCCCAAATCCCATCCTAAATCCCAGCCCTGTCCCGAACTCCCTTTGTGAGTGCCCAGCGCTGCCGCCCACCCCTGGTGGGAGCTGTCACCCCTCTCCCGTGCAGCCCCCCGGGACCCCGCCGTGTGTCACCCGCACAGACCCCCCGTGTCCCGCCCCCGGCTCTGACGATCCCCCCGCTCTCTCCCCTGTCCCCCAGCGCTGCCTGGAGCGGCTGAGGAGCAGCCGGGCCAAGCTGCTGGAGCGGTACCGCCGGGCCGGGGATGGGGCCCGCCCCGGGCCGGCCCCGGGCGCGCTGCTGGTGCAGGAGGTGATGGAGCAGGAGTGGCGGGAGCTGCGGGACAGCCTGCCCGGCCCGCGGGGACAGGAGCCGCTGGAGCAGGTCAGTGAGGGCTCCCACTGGGTCTGCAGCACCAACACACGGCCTGTGTGAGGGGCAGGAGTATCAAATGCTCTGCGGTTCTGCTTTCAGTCTCTCGCTGGAGTTGACAAACTCAGAGCTTCAGGGTTTCCTGGTTCCACAACTAGTGCAGAGTGTTTAGTTGTGAAAGTGCCTCTGGGCCCATGAGTGGGGAATTCCTTATTTCCTTCACAAACAGCCTGTGAATCACAGCAAAAGGGTGGGTTCCTCATCTGTGCTGTGTCACTTCCCTCTCCTGAGAATGGGAATGAAACTTAAGTGACATAAAAAGCAGGTTCTTGGACAGGCTGTGCTCGGATCTGTTCTGGCTGGGTTTGCACAGGTGATTACAGAATAGATTGCTTTCCACAGCACATGGGTTTGCCAACACAGGGATATAAACAGACTGAATTTATGCTGCAGTGACAGCTCAGTCAGGTGCTGGAAGTTAAGCGAGAGTGGTTGGAATGGGAGAATCACTGACTGATTCACTTTCAGATGCCAGAGGACCCCGATGAGCTGGCAGTGCTGGAGGAGATCCAGCAAGAATTGATCTTGCAAGGTAAGGGCTCTACAAGTTTTCTGATTCCTATTTGATGTGTAATATTCGGGAGACTTCCTAGTAATGCAGGATAGCTGAGGCTGCACTCCTTGGTTCTTGCAGACCTCGTGACACAGGGGAAGAGACTCCTTGGAAATTCTTGGTAACTTCTCTGTTGAGGCTTTGAGGTATTGAGACCCTTTTAAGGGTTTAAATGACATTTTTAAGGTCTGGGAGAGAGGCCAGAGAAGCAGGACTGAGGTGTTTGGGAGCTGTATAAATCAATTCAGGGAGAGACCCATGTGAAAGCAGCCAAGCCATAGGAAAAACTGGATTAGCAGGGATTATTTCAGCAAGTGTAGAAATCTGATCCAAAGGGATAAAAGTTCCTAGAAAGTCTTATCTCCCCCAGGCTCTGTGTGCCCAGCAGCTCTGTCTGTGCTGCCAGGACAGTCCCTGAGGGTGCTTTGCTGTGCTGTTGCAGAGCAGTTGGTGATCGAGGAGTACGAGCGGAGCCTGAGGTTTGATGAAGAGTGTCTCAATGCCATGCTGGAGGGCCTGGATGCCACTGACAGGATCATCTGCCCTGTGTGCAGGAAGTAAGAAAGCCCTTGGCATTGGAATGAGATCCTCCACTCCCCTAAGAGCGTGGAGAGAAGAGATAAAAACACCAGAGCAATGATCTCCCAAATCTAACAGGTTTTTGCTCTTTCCAGGAATAACCTGACTGTGAAGACTCACATGGTTTGTTGCCAGTGTGGATTGTACATCAGCACACAGGTAGGCTGAGCTGTGACATGTTACATGTGACATCTCCGCTGCTGCTTTAGGAGGCAGTTTAAGTGACAGAGCAACTTCAGATGACTTTTAATCCATTATTCTCAGGATATGACAGAAGGGAAGCTTCGGTCACTCCTGGAAAGCACTGTGACAGAGCACAGTCAGAGGTGTTTCCACAGCCCAGAGTTCACAGTGACCAGTGGCATGGAGGAGGAAACCAGTCTTCTCATGAGCTGTCCGGTGAGTCCCAGTGTCAGGTTCCTGGAGAGGATCTCTGCTTGGATCCACTTCTCAATTACAGGGGCAGAAACCACAAGTCCAGGCGTTTATGGGGTTGTTTTTTCACAAAATTCCTTGGAAATGGCTTTACCTTTGACCATCAGTAATGGTAAAAAAGCAGAGAAAGAAGAGCCAAAGTACATACCTTAACTGCTGGATTAGGGAGTCTTTGAAGGTCCTGTCAAACTTAGTGCCCTACCTTGGTCACACCTTAGCCAACAACTTGCAAGTCTTGTGTGGAGCATCTGTTCAGATAAGTGTTTCATGAAGAAACAAATTTTAAGAATTACTTCAGTTTAAGCCTCCTGAAAAGGTTCATCCAGAGCCCTTAGAGAACACACACCAGCCCTTTTGGCTCAAGCCAGAGCTGGCACGTGCTTTGCTGTGTATGGAAAACCAGTGTGAGGACAGTGAAAGGAACAGAGCATTTAAATAGAATCATGGGATTGTTTAAGTTGGAAAAAGACCCCTTAGCTCAAGTCCAACCGTTCCCCCTGCACTGCCAAGGCCACCACTAACCCACGTCCCAAGTGCCACATCCATGTCTGTTAACTCCCTCCAGGGATGGGGACTCCACCACAGCCCTGGGCAGCCTCTGCCAGTGCTTGACAGCCCTGTTGTGAATTTTTTTCCTAATCAATAGTTTTGAATAGTTTTTCCTGCTCAGATACTTTTGAACTTTACACATTAACATAACTTCTCTGTTCAACTTACCTTTTGTAAAGGTCTGTGACTCCTGGACAATTCTCCTCTAAGTTGATTCAGCTGCTGCTTTACTTCTGGAGGGACTTCAATACTAAAATCCACACAGAGCTGCTAAGGATTGTTGTGTATATACTTGTACCTGCTGTGTCAGAGAGACACTTTAAAAGGCAATAGTATTGCCTTGACCTGCACTTTTAATAGCACAGTACCTATTTTGAAATAAATATATTTAGTTTATTTTGGCCTTTGTGTTGTCTTTAACTCTGCATCAGTGATCTCACAGCTCATCTGGATTCAGCTTTCTGTTTAAATTTAAATAAACTTGAGGCAACAAGTGAAAGCACCAGTTAAGAGTGGAAGTTTGCAGCTGACAAGCACTGGCATCACTTTCATGGCAGGAAGAAGAGAAACCACCCTTTTCAGTGATATGTTGAACAGTTTTTATTCTTCACATTCATTCCTAATTGTACAAAACCCACCACGCAGGGCAAGGCAATTCCAGACTGTGACATCAGTGAACTTGATCTGGGCTGCAACATAAATACAAATCCCCAAATACAAGTGAGAATCCTCATTCTCCCATTCTCTACATTCCAACTTACTTACTCTCTGTATCCACTGTGAAGATACATTTGGGCATTGCTGGATGAAGCAGCACTGTGGTATACCCACACTTGAAAATAAGTTTCCTAGCCTACCCTACTGGCATTTGACAAAGCTTTTAAGGTCTTCAAGGAATTTAATGTACTCCTGGTGCTCCAGTGCAGTGCTGAGCTCTATTAACTCGTCAGCAAATGTGTTGTCCACTCCTCTGTCAGCCAGGAAATCCATCAAGTGATCATAGAGAGCCTGGAAGCAAGGAACAGGAAACTTCCTTAACAGAGTGGACCTGGCTATGGGTTGCTTTTAAAATGTTACCTAGCAGCTGGAACTTCTTCCTCCCAGGAAGAACAGGGGCAGCTCCCACAGGAGAGTGTTCCCTTCTTGCTGGGCCTGGCCTTGATAGGAACATTTGGAGGGAAGGTGCCATGGAACAGGTCATATAAACCCAAACACAGCATTACAAACAAGCTGATCCACAGACTTTGGGAGCCATCAGGTGAGTCTGTCAGGATTACAGAGGCCAAGCTCTGCCTGTCCCTCCACACACAGCCCTGGCCTTGGGGGTGAACTGCTTAACACTGTGAAAAGGTGGTATCTCATGTAAATGTTTGTTTGAAAGACTTAAGCCCTTTACAATAATGAACTTTGTTTGTTTCTGTTTCATCCACGCTTTTAATTCATTTTCTGCCAGAGAGGGCAAAAGAAAAAGCAGTGTGGGATGTTCTAGAGCACATCAACCAGTTTTAACAGGAGTGCTTCCCAGAGGGATACACTCTAGGAATAAAGTTTTAACTGTATGACAGACAGCAACAAACTAACAATGTAAGCTTCTGAAAGCCTGGCATCGAGAACATAAGCAGATGCCAGATTCTTGGGGATATTAATTTTTAGTGTTACAACTGTAACAACACACCTGGAAAACCAGGACACAATGTAGCTTATCAGATACCTCCACCCACAGATGCCTTTATCTACACATGGTATCTGATAAGCTACATTGTTAAACAAATATAAGTTAAACACACGGATCAAAAGATGCTGAGCGAGTGCCAAAGCATCTCCAGTGTGAAACCAGCCTAGAAAGCCTGGAGCAGAAAGAAATCCACGTGTTTGTGTCTGGAATGTCACCGGCACTGCCCGGCCGTGGGACCAGGTAACAACCCCCCAGTCTGCAGCAGAACCACCCCACGGGAAGCTGGGCAGAACGGGGAAATCCTTCGCTCAGACATCCACTTTCATTCCCAATTCGGGAGCCAAGGGACAGAGTTCCCTCTGGAGCAGCACCTACCCAGTCCAGGGAATCCGTGTTGAGGGTGTAGTTGGTGTCCTTCCAGTCGGACTCTCCAGTGGGCTGGAAACTGACCTCCCGAATCGTGAAAATATCGCTTTCCTCCTCTCCTTCATGGCCAATCTGGAACAGGAGAAGAGATGTGAGACATACAACTAGCTCCAATTACTGGGCATGCTCAGCCAACCTCATCCCGAGGCTGGGAATGCTGCAGGTAAACCCCCAGGGCCAGACAAGCTGTGCCTCTCCCCTCTCCACACGTGCCTGTGAGGACAAGCACAGACACAGGAGAACACAGGGAATTCCTTGAGCTCCTGCCGCCAGAAGCAACCTGATGTAAATCAACAGCCTGAATTTTACAAACAAACAAAAACCTCTGTGGTTCTAAATCTGTCGTCCCACATCTGTCTCACCTTTGTCAGCCAGGACTGGCTGCAGAAATACCTGTTAACATTTACAAAGCAAACCACAAAGTTCAGCTCTCCATTTTATTTTCTTCCCACCTTTTTTTTTTAATCCCTTCTTCTCCTTGTAACACCTCACAACACTGAGATTGGCAATTTACTGGCACAGTGTATTAAATCTCTTGGTTTGGCCATTCCTGCTCACCCCTCCCAGGTTACCATGATTTCAGCTCTGCCTCCCTGCTCTAATGTAGTTCAATAAATGGTACAACAAGCAGCTGATCAGAAACACCAGGGCAGGATGTCATGGAACATCTCCTCTCCAAACAGTGTTCTTGTAAACATAAAGCCTTTTTTTTTGGTGATTAAAAAAACCCCCAGAGATAAGAGGATAGTGCAGATTCAGAAAACCAAGAGACTACAAAGACCAGTTAGACCCCAACAGGGGCAGAGCTTCACCACAGCCAGGCAGGAAATGTGAGCAAATCCCAGCCCAGAGGTGACACACAGGGATACCAACCTCATCCTCAGGGTAATGGCAGTCCAGAACAAGGGTCTGCTTTGTGTCATCCTTTATTACTTCCACAACAAAGTTTGGAGTTGATGTAAGTTCAGGCTAAAAAAAGAGAACAGTTGCATCAGCATTGGAATCTGAAGAGGAGCTGATGCAATCACAACACAATCACACAGCCCATCCAGCAGAGATTATTCCCTGATGCCTTCCACTAGCCCAGGTTGCTCCAAGCCCCATCCAACCTGACCTTGAACACTTCCAGGGATGGGGCAGCCACAGCTTCTCTGGGCAACCTGTGCCAGGGCCTCCCCACCCTCACAGGGAAGAATTTCTTCCCAATGTCCCATCTAACCCTGCCCTTTGTCAGTTAAAAGCCTTTGCTCCATGCTCATGTCCAAAGTCCTCCTCCAGCTACCCTGTAGCCCCTTTAGGCACTGGAAGGTGCTAGAAGGCCTCAGAGCATCTTAAATCTCTCCTTGTAGAGCCTTCTCACCCTGCTCTGACTTTCTACAGCAGAGAGGAAGGTCACAGCCAAGTGACAGGCGGGCCTGAAAAACCTGCCTTTTGTGGCTTAATGCTCCCAAATATCAAGTGAGGGGGGCAAAAAGCCTCAACGCTTGAGCAAAAGGTTCCAACTCTCCTCTGTCCCCTTCACTAAAGTGCACATCAAGGTTAAGTTACCTCCTGCTCATCCGGTTTCTGCCCTTCTTGTGTGTCGTCTTCAGCCGAGGGTGGAATGCTGTTATTGATGTTGAATGTAACCGTTATCCTTCAGAAAGAAACAGAAACACTTAGTTGGAACAAAAAA